CTACATGTATCTGGACAGACTGCCAGACAAGATACTTCCGGACTGACAACTCACCTTATGTAGGAACCAACAAACAGAAAACGCTCTGCCTCCACGAGCAGAAAGCTGGAACCATAACTTTTCTGCTGTCGAAATATACTCTGGAAGAGCTATAATTTCGGGCAAGGACCTCCTCTCATCATATCTGGTTCAGCTCGTGGGGTATCAATATCAAATGACATACTCCACGAAGTGCTCCAGCGACGGGGGGGTCGGATAGGTGAACTTGCTTACTTGACCCCTCCCTGAGGAAGCCGTAGTTGCCTGAATATGTCAATGATAACCCCCTGCCCCCCTCTCGAAGCCCCTTGAAAAATGTTGTACCTTAAAAATTTTATTGCGGATTTGGACAGCTCTTGAAGAGCGCAGTCGGAATCTGCCCAAAAAAAAAAAAAAAAAAAAGATATTTGGGCACTTTTTTTTCAAAACCGGTTTCCCGGTTCACCCCCCCTGGTCTGGTCCGGCTCCGGTTGGACCGGGGTAGCTCAACCGGCCGGTTGCCGGCCCAGCACTGGTTCAATCCTTAATATTTCGTCATTATGGTAATGTGCCTCTGGTGAGATATATACCTCCTAAGGAGGTTTAGCATTAAAGCACAAGTACACGGCCCCAGCCTTGCAGCAAAACATCTTGTCGCCACGAGTCTTAGATTGTTTTTTGCGGCTAGGGCCTACCGGACCACAAGGGCTGGCGATGCCAGCCAAAAAACAAAAGAAGTGCCGCGCTGGCAGTTTGGAAAGTGCACCGCTGGCGGTTCGGAAAAAGAGGCCCGGGTCTACTGGTGGTTTGAGTGCTGAATCTTATGATTGCCTTGTGGCTGTCTTGCAGCATATTGATACTATTTTGTGGGTATTCACGGCTTCTTAAAGCTCCTTTATGGCTATCTAATGGCTACTTTTATGGCTTATCTAATGGCTACTTTTATGACTTATGTAATGGCTACTTTTATGGCTTATCTAATGGCTACTTACGTAGCTCTCTTTTCGGCAGTCGTAAGTGATCTTATGGCTTTTTCGTGGCTGGTTCCGAGTGCATCAGGGGACTGGTTAGGGTCAGCCCGCAGCGGTGCTCATCTTTATGCGTGTGTGTGTGCGTGTGCGTGTGTGTGTGTGTGTGTGTGCGTGCAGTCGCTGAACAGATCATACTTCGCTCCCTACCGGATGTGTCCAGCAGTAGTGAGAAGAATGGGGATTGCTTGACTCACTTAGGATTTCGTACCTCAAGTTTAACTTCATGTTAGATGTCGTCTTCTTTCATTTGGTGGGTCTGAGGGTAGGGAGAGGAGGGTGTGGTTGCCAGGATCCGATCTCTTATTTGTTTGGGGGTTTGGTAGAGTTTGGATCCTTGCCTATTTGACATGCATGTGCGGCTGTGTAACGATGTGGGCTGATTGTGAAATGCCTTTTGTTTATTTGGCAACTTCTTATCTGCTGGAAATGCAGGATGTCACTCGGTGTTGCCCTTGTGGCACTGTCACTATGGCTTAGGGGCATGCAAACTGATCTGAAGGAGGAAAAGCCCTTCTTCCAAGGATTACTGTCCATTGTTCTCAGGTGGGTATAGCTAGATCTATCCCCCTATGCGTATTCCAATGTCTGCAATTGTGTGGTTGTTTCTCTCCAATTTCAGTCCCTTTGTTGCTCTCCGGGGAAGGGTGGGGAAGCGGGGGACGGGTGTGTGCTTGCCGACATGCTTGTGTGTGAGTTTGTGAGTGTGTGTGTGAGTGTGTGAGTGTGTGAGTGTGCGAGTGTGTGAGTGTGCGAGTGTGTGAGTGCGAGTGTGTGAGTGCGAGTGTGTGAGTG